GCCGAAGCGATATTTGAAAGCGTTTAAAGATCTAATCGCTTGCGTCAGAGCGATGGACGCGGATGTGCTCACAGTAACCAATGCCACGACCATAAAGAGCACCGAATACGGGGACGTGTATCCCATGGCCAGCAAACTCCGGGGCTATTGCGTGATCATCGATAACGAGAAATTCAAAGTGAAAACTCTGGAGCGCAGGACCGGCACCACAGCCGACGCCAGCCGACTGTCCTCTGTCTTCGAACAGCTCTTCTTTCGGGTAAAACTCTATGAGAATAAAACGGCGGACAAAATGAAAACACTTTTAGCGAACATCGCGGCCGACAAAGCGCTGGTAAAACACGACGCTTTGGTAGTCATTATACTATCGCACGGCGCGGAAGAAGGCATTTACGGCACGGATGGGGTCACTGTTGCCCTCAAGACTATACTCGAGATGTTTAACAACGAGAACTGTCCACAGCTTATCGATAAGCCTAAGATGTTCTTTACTAACGCCTGCAGAGGCAGTAAGTTTTTTTATAACTATATGATTTTAAATAATTAATGGTTAATTAATTGAGGCAAATTTGACCATGGCACACGCAAGAGTTTGGGTCCGAGTTTAGCTGCAATGGGCACCGCCTATGGAGCGCCTATGGTTACCACTTGGAGTGATATGTTTGTGTATTATTCTTCAATCGAGGGTAAATAAATAATCATACTAAAATGATTATTTAAAATATTTAATTAAAAAACCATCTAGGCTATGTTTCAACGCGTAGTATGTTTAAGGGTTCGTGGTTTGGACAGGAGTTGGCCACGTGTTTGGCTGAATCGGCTCATAGGGAACATCTCAACGACTTAGTGACTATACTTGTGGCCAAACGCGTCAGCGAAAGGATTGGTAAAATTGATGGTCAGTTCAGCAAACAGGCCATTGAGACACATATCAGAGGCAGTGTTAAAAAGGTTTATTTTAATCCGGGTCTTTATTTGGAGAATTGATAATTGCGAGAATAAATTATGGTTTAAAATGGTTTAAATGGTTTAAATATTTTATATTTCATATTATTTTACTAGAATTTCTTGTATTTCCAAATTTAGATAAATACAAAATTCAAGTTTTCATTACAGCATTGTTTTTGTTTTAATACATTTTTATACACAAGAATTTATTCTAACAAATGTTTTGTGCATAAATTATACCTAAAAAATGGTTTTACATTTAATTTTAATTAAAAATTGAGTTTATTATAACTTTGATTTAATTAGAATCGCAAATAGTTTCAAAGGAAAACTATTTAAACAGAATATTCTGAATATCTGCAACATTTAATTTCAGACCATATTTCTTATAACAAAATTAACATAAATTAACTAAAACAATAAACAATTTATATTTTTGTATTACAATTAATGTCAAAACATAAGCTCTAAAATGTGTACTTTTTGTCCGTAAAGGGAAAAAACTTACAATTAAATGTATAAATCAATATTTAATAACAAGGCATTTTATAATGCATTAGATAAATGGCATTTTGAATTTTTACCATTTAATTAAAATCTAAAAAACAATAGTCTTTTTCATACAATTTATCTGAAAATTTGCTTTAATTACAAATCCATTCGTTGACTATCTATAAGATAAAAGGCCTAAAGAGCTATCTCTTTTTGAGGAGCGGTCAGCGGCTGGAAATAGGAGTCCACTTCTTGGGCACTGATCTCTTCGAGCGTCCGGTGCTTCCAAACGGGCGGTTCCTTTGATTTGTTAACCAATACTGCAATCAAATGCCAAACAAATGAGGAGCGGTCAGCGGCTGGAAATAGGAGTCCACTTCTTGGGCACTGATCTCTTCGAGCGTCCGGTGCTTCCAAACGGGCGGTTCCTTTGATTTGTTAACCAATACTGCAATCAAATGCCAAACAATATCATTAAATAAATGGCAAAACATATGATCTATAGATCGGTGAGAGAGGACGGGAGGGAGTGAAGAGAGGGATGGCTTACGGTGTGTAACACCAGTGAAGAAGTCTTCGTTGGCCATACAGTGTTGAGATATACGAAACTCCATTTTGAGACACTCGGGAAGTGTGAGATTGTGTCCGCGCCGGAGCTCTTCGTACGTCAACTTGAGACTCATGGGAGACATTCGGCTCATTATATCTAACTGTTGTTTAGACCACTCGGAGTTGTCTTTCTTCAGATTCTCCACAATCTCTTCCACGGATTGTCCGCCGAAAGCGCTGTTTATGCGTCCGATATATTGCTTGAGTGAGAACTCCTTCTTGAAGTCCTGTTCCCATTGTTCCGAATATTTGGTGAGAATCTTATCGATGGAGTGTATGTCCGGCGCCTCCAACCGAATCAAGTCCTTCTCGAGTTCGTTGAGGCGATCGCTGGGCACGAAGTGAGTGCCGACACCGGCCTTAACGATGTCGCGACCGGTCAGCCGATGACCCGTTAGGCCCAGAAAGAGACCCAATTTGCCGGGCAGTCGGGGCAGGAAATGACTGGCGCCCACGTCTGGGAAGAAACCGATGGCCGTCTCCGGCATCGCGAACACAGCCTTCTCTGTGACCACACGAAACGGCCCGTGAACTGAGATACCGACGCCCTGTGAGCGACCAAAACAGACAGTTTGTGTAAATCACTGATAGTAATCAATGGACCGGTAGAGCACTCACGCCTCCCATAACAATACCGTTGATAAGAGAGACATAAGGGATGGCGAGGGAACCGATTATGTTGTTCATCCGGTACTCCTCTCTAAAAAACTCGTCAGTAATGGCCGATCCCTTACCCGACTGAGCGATTGCTATCAAGAAACAAATACAAAAATTACAAACACATTACAAACAGCGAAACTCTTCGTCCATACTCTTGACATCACCGCCGGCGCAGAAGGCCTTATCGCCGGTGGCTTTGATTAAAACCATTTTCATAGTGTTATCCATTTCCCAACTCTTGAGCTGAGGGTAGATCTTCTTGACCATCGATAAGGAGAGCGAGTGCAGGGCTTTGGGTCTGTTCAACGTTATGATACCCTTATTGCCGGTCCTCTCCAGCAGAACCTCGTCGGTTGCGGCGCCGGCACTAGTGGTCGACATTTTACGATAGGTTCGACCCGTTTGTGAGCGAAGACAAAAGGCACGACCGATACAGTAATACCTCATTTTCGTGAAACAAATTACAAACAAAACAATTGCTATTAATTGTGTGAATAAAATGAATTAATTTAATGTAAAAAACATGGCATTTAAGGCATAAAACTATAACACATTTTTGTGAATATAAATTACATAAAAAACTAATCACAAAAACCAAACAAAACTTTTTGATAAGGTTTTAAAAGGAAAAACATTACATAAGGTTTTCAGCACAAAAAAACCTAAGAAAATAAGTAACAAAAGTATATATATTTTCGCTAATATAAGAGAAAAAGTATATAACAATTAATGTCATTAAACGGTGCGATAAGTGAAGAGTTGACAGAAAATATAACGATAAGTATATGAGAAATTGGCCATAAAATAGTCGCTAATCACTGGAAATATTTATAGAAATCATTGGTCGTTATGCGGGAATATATGGGGAAAACTCCTGGCAAACAGTCTATCGCTCAGACATAGCACCAGACCTTCAGACCTAGAAATGTCTGAACGTTTCCCAATTGTCTTATCATTTTTTGAATGTGTTTGTGATATGATTTTTAATCACAATTCATAAGATATTTGAGTGCCTTTGGAGACATACATAATCATTAAAATCACCCATAAATGGCATGACATTCAGGACATTATGCGATATAAAAGCCCATTAAATATAATGATAATTCAATTATCGGAGAGTTGTTTATCGACTAAACACACGCTAATTGTATATACAATATGTATCAGTTTTAGGGTACGATCGATGTCCGAAATAGTTACCAATACAGTTAATGTGGACACAGATACAGAGGGCAACAAATATTTAACCATACGTGTAAGGTAATTTATCAATGACAAATAATTGATAAAATGAACTTGTACGATTCAGCAGTTTTATTTGTATAATATACCGCATATTAAGTACAAATAACTTACGCTTAACTGTATGTTAACAATAAAAATTCAATAACAAAAAGCAAACACAAAAAAATATGATTACTTATAAATATAAAAGCAATTTCCAAAAGCAAATACAGCGATAGATAATTGAAGTGCTATTCAATTATTACAGGTATTGTGTATTGTGTTGGAGAGAATATCCACATAATGTTTCTATTCGTGTGCTCACCAAGGTACAAATAAAACAATAATAAAATCATCAATGTATAAAACTTGTGTTTCCCAATAAACAAAAAGTTATAAACATAAAAATTACTAATAAATTCAATACAAGTTTTATAAATATAAAAACAGTGTATTTAGAAACGTCTGTCTCATCGCTGGAATACAAGCAAATACTCCGAGTTTTTGGATAAAAGCCATCAAAATTATTGGCAAAAACAGACACCTTTCGGTATTTAAAAAATAGTTTTCATCAGTTTTTTTGCTTTAATATTTTATTTATTAATAGTATGGATATCTTGGGATAGAAATTGATTGTCAATTCAATTCTCGGTCTTAAGTTATTTTGCTATTAATTAAAAAACACCACTTATTTTGGGACAGAAAATGGGACTCAAATATTAGCCCTAAATTTCACACTAACTGTAAGTCTGTTTTCTTTCGTTAATCAAATTTATCAGTTTAGACAGTATTGTTCACTATAACGAGTGTTCACTGTATTCGTATGAAAACCCCGAAAAATATAGATATTATGTAATAAATAGATGTTTTTTGAGTTTACATTATTTGAGATAAATTCTGTACTATAATTAGAAAATCAGTTATATTTAGATATCATAAAGAACCTTGTTAAAAATATATTTACGGCTGACTCACAAACGGCACATGGTTGCCTAAATGATCAAGGACAGTTTTACGAACGCACTGTACGCCCACATGTGATCACCCCATATGGGATGACCCGGCTAATTCCACTATAATATTATGCAATATAATGTAAACAATTAGTGCAAAACAACATAATCAATGATTATTAATCATGTTCAGTGCATAATTTGTTGGTACATTTTAGCAATTTTTTGCAAATAAACTATATTATGAATATTTTGCGTTATAATAAATAATGAAATGCATTTCATTAGCTATGTTGATACTAGGGCAATTTAAATGTCAATGAATTATTTAAAATTTTTAAAAATAACAAACATTAAAATTTTAAAACACGTAAAGTAAACAAAAATACATTAACGATAATAATTCAATTTAAATGAATGTCGAAAACAAACAAAAAACATATTTATAAGGAAATAAATGCATCGAAAAATATATTACATGATAAATTTGTACACAAAACTACATTCTTGTTTACCGTCTATTGTCTAAATAAACACTTTATTAGATAATACACTAATAATAGATATGAATAATAATAATAACTTACAAAAAAGCTAAACAAACAACGGGGGAAAAGCAAACAAATATTCAATGATGATAATAAATAATAACCACTTTGAATTTTGTCAGCAAATATCACGTTCAAAATTTCACATTCATTTTACGTCACAATTGCTTTTGCAATAACTTATTGAAAATATAAGGAAAACTTTTGACATAATATTTCAATTAGTTTTTGATCTCAAAAAGCGTGTTATTTCTCAGTTAAAAGTCAATCAAAAAACAATTTATTAAATATTTTAAATATTTCTTCACTTGTATTGCAAACGATGGAAAAAACTATAAAAAGTTTTTCGCAATAATAATAGTAATTAAATGATAAACAATTTAATTTCAAAAATAACTGTAAAATACCTGTGAATTGAAACGCTTGCCATTGCTATATCTCTCACTGTCTCTCACAGCAAATCAATTGTAATAATAATTAATTAAATTATTAAAACTTATGATAAGTTTCTAAATATAATTATTAATTAACAAACAAAACACTTTGCAAAACAAAACGATCTGTTTATGTGAGAAACAGATTGAATGCCGGCATTCAAGTGAAACGGACTGTTGTTTGCCTTCAAATATCACATCCAATTGTGTGACAAAAACACAACAAAATCACTAAAATATATCACTTTTTAATATCAATTAGCGTTTAATTCAATACAAAAAACGTGTGTTTAATATAATCATACAAAAGCCGGCCGTCTCTGCGGTCTTCGCGGGGAGTATACGGACTGTCAGTGCAGTGTATGTGCTGTGCGTTGAGTCCACTGTACGGGTGGTTCACTATAACGAGTGATACACTAAACGTATTCAGCGTTTAATTCATTAAATGAAAGCCACGTTTCAAATGGGATTAAAAAATGCATTCAAATCCCATGTAATTCGCCGATCGATTGGCCGCTAATTATCTAACTGTAAGTATAGATTGAGATTAACTGTTCACTCTATGGGGGGTACACTAATTCAATGGACACACCAGGGTGCTTTGCGACACTGTATGGTGTATATCCAATAAAGCACGATGCTAGTTTTAATTAAACTTTTTTTATCGCACAAAAACTAATTTATAAATCGCTTTTCATTTTGTTTATACAAATCAATCGCTGATAACATGTATATTACATAACATTTGAAAACACGGCGAATACAGTATATAAACGATATAAATAGCACTTTGTTTTGGCCGACGATTAGTCCATTTGATTGTCGATTCAGTTGTAATTTACGCCAAATTAATAGCAATTAAAAAGTCATTCATAAAAATTGAATCACATTTTTGTCGCACACTTTGTGTGTGTTTTTCGGTGTCGTTATTGAGAGACAGTCTATCGCTTCAAAATAAATCGTTAACTTATGTTTGCGTACAGTCTATAAGCGGCTATATTTACGTGTAATCCATCGAGTTGTTTAGGTCAAGTGTTCATGCTCATTTATAGTGTCACAGCATTAAATAGTGTTTTATTTAGGCAAACAAATAAATTGTTAGTTTAATTTAGTTTTCTAGTTAATTATACAGTGTTTGACATTGGTGTGTATTATAGCGATGGTAGACTGTATTTACATATATAGTTGGGTTATTAATTCATTGAATTTTTCTATTTGAAAACCTAATACGAAGTGAACAAACATTTATATGTCAATAGACTTATAGCGATAGACACCACTCATATATAACGTTACAACTTATTAATGAAAGTTATTGTACAGGGACTCAAAATTATAGATTTATGAATTGTTTGTCATTGCATTTGTGAATAGTATATAATATAATTGTCAATAAAGTACGCCTACGGAGTATTTAATTATATTAAGTGCATAAAAAACAAATAACTTTACCACTTTGCAAACACATAATAAAACACAATTAATTATTAAGATTGCCTTGATAAATATTTGAAATTCACACATAGAATGCCATTGTATTTGACCACTCATGGGCTAAATATTCTTAAAAGCACTTTATAAAATAAAATATATTGGTATACATATTTAATACTATAAAAATATAAATAGTTAGTTAGTTAAGCAAAGTAGACAATTAAACAGAATTGTCAAACATCTAAACACATTAAGTATATAAAATAAATGCATTACAAAATCATATAGAGCAGTTTGTATGCGAGTATAAACTAGATTAAAAGTAATTGTAACATCGGGGGGCGAATAACACGTGATAATTGCGGACATAATTGATGTCTATTCGGGAAATAGCATTGAAAACAATGGCCTCCACTTAACGCACCATTTTATGTGCGAAACAAATGTAATAATAATAATAATAAACAAAACAAAACAAAAACCAATTTTTAAATATTTAATAACAAATAAACCCATAATTAAAACAACGTGTTTGTAATTACAATTTAATTACAATCAACTCATAGTTTAAATGCATTATTTTTTTACCACATTTTAATCCGTAGAGTAATTAATATTCATAATAATAATATTGTGTTTTGTATGTAAAAAAGTCAACTAGTTGTTTTGAGTGGATTTAATCACCACAATAATTAACGTTACAATTTAAACCAGATCAGTTCAATGTGATTATGGTTAACCAAATGGTGTAGCCGTCACTGTGCTAGGTGCTATTTGGGTGTGTGTGACCGGGCTCACGTGGCCAATGATGATCATGATCTATTGATTTTGTTGTGCACCCATTGGTCCACCAAATGGGGGCTTTCGCTACCCCTTTGACTACTCGTGGTTTAAATCATACAAACAATTAACTAATCATTGAAACCAATGCTTGCATTCGTTTGAGTAAAACATGTGTTTAAATGGTATTTCATTTTAAATGTCAGTATTTTTGTCAACACTTTTTCTAATCATATGTTTATCTCATTTTCATTGACCACTCGATGTCATTGCGAAGAATATTAACGCCAAATGTGACCAAACATTGAGCGCCCAATCGTTAGCCACACGAATGATGGCCACAATAGCCGGCGGCGGAGGAGGACTGAGTCGAGCGGTGGTGACGGCGACCGCGACTGGAGTGACGGCAACGCAGCCATACGTGCTCTCGTCGGCCGTCGCGCCGAAGAGACCGCCGCTGACCGCAGCCAATGGCGTACACCAGTTGACAGTGTTGTCGACGATGGCCACCAGCGCGTCGGCCGCCACCACCATAACCATCGCCACGACCACCACCGCCATCAACACCACCTTCCGGTCG